GGATAATCAGACTCTTATGGAATTAGTATTTTTTTTTTTTTTTTCTTTTTTGGTTTCCTCTTCTCTGCTTTCTTGATTCTCTTTTTTTCTGGGACTCTTATTATTTGGAAGTTGAATCTGCTGGGTAATTCTCTAACTTTCATACCTTCTATTTTCTCTCTTTGCCTTTTACTCTTTGTTTTATCCTTTAGATTTTCTTATGTTCCAGCTATTGTTTTCAATTTTTATTTCTGCTTTTTAATTTCCAACGACTCATTCTGAGTTTCTAAACAGAAATTTGTTAGTTTCCTGGATATAATAATCTCCTGGCTTTCAACTTTGAATACAGCTGGCCCTTGAACAACACGACTTTGAACTTGTGTGGTTCCACTTACATGAGGATTATTTTTAATGTTTCTTTATTTTGAAAGAGAGAGAGAGCAGGAGGGGCAGAGAGAAGGAAAGAGAGAATCCTAAGCAACCTTCACACTGCCAGCACAGAGCCTGATGTGAGGCTTGAAACCGTGAAACTGCAAGATCATAACCTGAGCCGAAACCAAGAGCCAGATGCTCAACTGATTGAGCCACCCAGGTGCCTCTGCCTCACTTTTTGAGAAAGAGAGAGCAAGGGAGCATGTGTACGTGAGCAGGAGATGCGCAGAGAGGAAGAGAGAGAATCCCAAGCAGGCTCCACGCTGCCAGCGGAGAGCCTGATGTGGGGCTCAATCTCAAGAAGTGTGAGATCAGAACATGAGCTGAAATCAAGAGTCACTCAACTGACTGAGCCACCCAGGCGCCCCCATGAGATTTTTTTTTCAATAAATATATTGGAAAATTGGGGGGAGGAATTGTGACCATTTGAAAAATCCTGCCAGTGAACCAATTAGAAATACTGGAAAATTAAGAAAAAGTTAGGTATTATTATAAGAATACAGAATATATAACATACAAAATATGTGTTTATAGCTTATTTACATTATCAGTAAGGCTTCCAGTCAACAGTAGGCTATTAGTTAAGTTTGGGGGCAGTCAAACGCTCTATGTGGATTTTTGACTGCACAGGGTGTTGGTGCTTCAAACCCCCATGTTCAAGAATCAACTATATTATTCATACTGGTGCTTTTTCTGTTTGTTTTGGTCTCTCTCATGTTAGAGCTTTTCCTGAGACTCTCAGGGAGCGCTGTGGGGCTCCTAAGAATGGGGGTATCACATGATCACTTGGAAATTCTATGCTCACAGGTGGGGCTTGTCAGCTTTATGCTTCCCTATAGGACAGGCTCACTGGACCATCTAATTGGAAACCTCCAATGTCGTTATCTTGGGGTCTCCTCCCTTTGGCAGTCAGTTTTCCCATGGAAAGATCTTCCATTCTGACCCCTGGAGGATGTAAGCCTGGCTGTCAGAACTGTAAGACAGGGAAGAGGGCTGGTGGCCCAACATTTAGAATCCTTTCTTTTCCATCTAGTGTCCCTGTCCTGTCTCTGCCTAGGGTCTCCTGGTCAGAGGCCCTGTATTTTACTGCCTGTAGGGAATCAACCAGTGGTGTTAAATCACACGGGGAAGGGAGTATCACCTGGCGACTCGAGGGGAGGTGGGGGGCTAGAACTCTGAAACAGACTTTTCACCAAACCTCGTGTTTTTAGTTTTGCCTTCAAACTATCATGAGGTATCATGAGGCTTCTATTTTACTCAACTATTCCCACTACTGACTTAGATATTTACTTCTCTGGGTCTGTCATCTTACTGTTTCCAGCTTCCAAATTGTGGTGCTCTCATTTCTACCAGACCTAAAATGAGCCCCCTAATTCCTTACTGTCACAACACCCTATCTGTCCTCTCTCTGACAGCCATCTTGATCTTTTAATTGTTTTGTTAATTTTCTTATTTATTGTCCATCTCTTCCACTAGACTCAAGTCTGGTAGAGCGCTTCGTCCTTGGTAAGCACACAACAAATGCCGAGTAAGGAGGTGCAGGATAAGCAAAAATGAATGATTAGTCATTAACAATTCATTAAAAATTATTTTTACGTGAAAATAATGTTCACCGTATATCTCAAATCTAGATGTGTTTTGGGAATGTACTTTATCCCCTTTTATTCAACTAGTAACCTCAGGGTGTTCTGTTACTTTTCACCCACAGGATATCCATCACAAGGGTCACGGCTGACATCTCGCTCGCCAAGCGCTCAGTGTTAAACAATCCCAGCAAGCATGCAATAATAGAAAGATCTAACACAAGGTCAAGCTTAGGTAAGTCTGTGCAGTGCTGATGAGCTTAGGCTATTGAAACATTTCTCTCCTGACGTCGCCAATGAGAAGCTCTAACTAGATGGTAATTCCATGTGTCATAGAGCAGAGAAGAAATGGACCCGTGTTGCCAACCCGTGTTGCCAGCGGCAGGTGTTACAGTCTTAGTGATTTCATGATACGGAAAGATTTGTTAGGATAGTTGCGAGTTAAATGTTCCACTGGCTGTCAGCGTTAATGTTTTGGTTGTGTTTTTTTCCTTTCCCCCACTAATGTGAGCTTTGCTGTCTAGAGACTCTAAAACTTCCTGGCTTTGCATTGGTGTTACTGTGGGCAAGTTCGTTGATGTCTTTAATGCCTAGTTTCCTCATCTAAACAACAAAGAGAGAGAGAATTAAGTACCTTGTAGAATTATTGTAAGGATGAAACATAGTATGTTCTCCATCAGTGATGGCTATTGTCCAAAGACCCTCGGTAAGTGAATTCTATACAGTGAATTATATCAATGATTATAAGTGAATTATATCAATGATTATGTCATATTCAGGATAGTGTGTGTCAGGGGGGATGGGTAGGTGTTGAGATAAAAGATAAAATTAGTTACTGGCCATTTTTAACTGATATGTGCAAAAACAGTGTAGAGATTTTAGTGAACATGTCTACAGGGTTGTGTTTGGATACTGTTTATAAACGTGATTTGCTCAAATGAGATAGTCTGGCAGTTATTTCTTCTCTGTGGCATGTGCTTGGAGTTTTAGGTTAATCATGGTCACACATTTCACTCACTGGGTTGTTAAGTTCTGTTATTATAAAGTAATTTTTCTGAGAGTTTGAGATTTTTTTTTTCAATTAAAAAAAAATTTTTTTTTAGTTTATTTTTGAGACAGAGCATGAGCAGGGGAGGGGCAGAGAGA